GGATTTCCAGAGAAATAGAAACAGTAGGATGTATTTATTCATATACATATATACATATCCATACGTCTGTGAGCGGGTGATTGATTTTAAGGAACTGGCTTGTGATGTGAAGTTATTAAACAGGCAGCAATGAGATCCTTAGTAACCATGTGTGCATTCCTAGGAGTCTGGACCTAATTTTGCAGGTGAAGGGTATTCACTGAATTAAAAACGGAGAAATTGATCAGATTTGAAAAGTGACTGTGGTGTGCATGTATGTTGGATGAATTTAAATTAACTTGGGAGAGAACTAAAGGTATTCGCACATGGGGTCCTTCTGAAGCCCCAACTTGTACCTTTTGTTCTTGTTTTTCTTTTTGTAGGCCTCAGGGGCCCAAGCTATTTTTTCATGAGGCTTACCACCATCTTCTCTGTCCTCTGGAGCACATTTCTTCACAAAGCTCCCTTGAGAAACGCATGTGCTCCAGCTCCCTACATTCTTACTATATACAAGCCTTTTTGATTTTAATAATTTTATTGCTATTTAGTATTGGAATTTATATGGGGGTAACAAAAATTGCAAACATGGGAATGTTTAAAATTTTTTATAAAGTTAGGGGACCAGCAGTTAGCGTAATGGCTATGTCGCTGGACTCCCACGTAGTAGACCGTGGTTCGAGTCCCGGACCTGGCGGCTTAGACACACGCCGGGCACATGTGCGTGTGTGCCCAAGATCCCAAGAGGAGAATGGAGGAGAAGGGATTGCGGTGTGGCCATCCCCTCTGGGGGGTGATTTCTCACTTTCTATCTCTCTGTCTCTCTCTGTCTGTCTGGCGAGTGCACACACCCTATAGCAAAAACTTCTCAAAAAAATTTTTTTTATAAAGTTATTTTAATTATGGTTGTTATTTAGAAATGGTAACTGGAAGCCCTGATGGCCTTCAGTTCATTAGGCAGCATGGCGAAGATGACTCAGAGTCATTGGATCCTATGAACAGGGAATAGGATTTACATGGAGAGACAATGAATGGCACACCCTTACAATCATTACTTTTTAATTTTAGTTCGTAACTTAAAAAAAAAAAAAGCTTACTTTTTCTTTGGGGGTGGGGAGAGAACCCTCAAGAGTGTCTTGATGCCACAATCCAACTCCAGCTCTAGCCAGTTGTGGACATGGGCATGTGTATGTCCAGTGTACTCAGGGAGGTCTCTGAACACAAACCTGGAACCTTCTCATGTGAGTCAGCCTTGCAGACTGTCTCATTTTACCACTGTGCTACTGTCTGGGCTCCTAGCTTAGAACTTTTTGTTCAGGAGAGAAAATCCTATTTCCTCAGATGTTCACTTTAGACCCAGATGGACTCTTTCCTTCATACATCATTTATTTTCTTCTCCTTTCTTTCTTAAGCACAAAAGTGTTGCTTAAGCATTAAAACATTATCTTGACTCTTTGGCAATATCTTCTAGATCTTACCAGAACCTTTTAGATGAGAGGGTTTAGGTTAACATATACAGAGGTTTTTAAAAAGTTCATGGAAAGAACTTATGAAAAACCCCTATAGATTTATTTATTGGTACCAAAAGAAACTTGTATTTTAATTCTATTTTCCACAACCTTTTTGAATTTCCCTGGAAAATCCACAGGGCCTCTTGTTTCTCAAATGAAGGAATATATTGCTTATTAACAAACAGGTCACTTTTTTTTCTTTTTTAACTTTGGGTCATCTTGGGACCTATTTTAGGGCTTGAAATATCAAAGGGCATGGGACCAGCAGTTGGTGCAATGGCTATGTTGGTGGACTCCCATGTAGCCGTCCACAGTTCAAGTCCCAGACCTGGTGGCTTAAACTTATACCAGGCGTGTGTGCATGCATGCCCAAGATTCCGAGGAGAATGGAGGAGAAGGGATTGTGGCATGGCCATCCCCCTTGGGGGGTGATTTCTCCCTTTCTGTCTCTCTCTCTCTCTCTGTCTTTCTGGAGAGCGTGCATGCCCTATAGCAAAAACCTCTCCAAAAAAAAAAAAAAAATCAAAAGGCTTTTAGGTGAGGAATACTTTAATTAAATGTGACATTTTCCAGTCTCTTTTTGAAGTAAGTGATAAATATGAATCTTTTCCCTAAGAAAAGTTGAAAATCTTTTTGCTCACTTGATCATATAACCAGCTAAGAAGATGCTATGGTTTGAATGTGTTCCCCAAAATTCATTACGCTGAATATGGTTGTTACAGTAATGGTATTAAAGGGGTAGAAACTAAACCCCATTATGGTATTAAGAGGTGAGGTCTTGGGACCAGCAGATGACAAAATGGTTTTGTTGCTGGACTACCATGTAGTTGACCACAGTTTGAGTCCCAGACTCAGCGGCTAGAAACTCATGCCAGCTGCATATGTGTGTGTGTGTGCCCAAAATCCTGAGAGGAGAATGGAGGAGAAGGGGTTCATTTCTCGCTTTCTCTCCAGTGAGCACATGTACCCTGTAGGAAAAAATAAAAAGAGGTAGGGTCTTTGTGAATTAGAAATGTTATGGGGGGGGGTGGGTTCAAGATTGAATACTGGTCACTTTATAAGAAGAGAAAGACAGGACACACACTCTTGCCTTCTCATTATCCCCTGTGCCACCTCAGGACTCTATGGAGAGTTTCTGCTGATAGTAAGGCCTATGTCAGATATAGCCCCTTGACCTTGGATGGCCAGAATCATGAACTAAATTAAACTTAGTCTTTATAAATTACCCAGTCTGTGGTATTCAGTTACAGAAATAGAAAAACAGACCAAAACAGAAAATTTGTACTGAAAAGTGGGGCTCTTACTAATAACAATAACTGAAATGTGAAATTGGCTTTGGAACTGGGTAATGAGCACAGATTAGAAGAGTCTGTAGAAGCAGGCTTAAAAAAGCCTGAATTCTGGAGAGGGTTCAGAAGACAAAAAGATTACAAATTAGAACTCAGAGACTGATTAAGTGGTTGTGACCAGAATGCTGATAGAATCATGAACAGCAAAGGCCATTTTGATAAGGTCTCAGATGAAAATGAGGACTATATTAGAAATCAGAGAAAAAATTATACCATTGAGAAGAATTTGGCTATATCATGTTCATGCCCTAGGGTTTTATAGAATGCCAAAGTTCAGAATGATAGATATCCAGTAGAAGAAATTTCTAAGGAGTGGCATGGTTACTTTTAACAGTTTATAGTAAATTAAGAAAGAGAGAACCTCTGGGGATGACTATGTCACAATCCCTTCTCCATTCTCATCTTTGGATTTTGGGCACACACACACACACACACACACACACACCCACCTGGTGTGAGTTTCAAGTCACTGAATCTGGGACTTGAACCATGGTTGGCCATGTAGGTGTCCAGTGCCTTAACCACTATGTCACCTGCATGGCCCCTTGTGCAGCAGTCTTTGACTTGGGCCATGATTTAAGATGATCCAGGTTCAGCCTGATCTGCCTTTTAAATGTTGCACCACTCAGTACACCTGAATGTGCAAATGACAGACCTTGGTGGTGTACATGGTGGTCATTACGCAGGTGTGCAAAATGCCAAAACTCTTGACTCCAAGTAAGTTTTTAGTCTGAGTTCTGATAACCATCTATATTTGACTAAGAATACCACTGAAATATTCCTAAAGCAAATTATAAATTTATGTAAAAAAGATACAGGTAATAAATTCTTAGAAACATCATTCCTCTCTAATCAAATCTCTCTTGGCAGGAATAGTGCATTAATTATAGCATCAATCGTTCATGAGTCAAAAGCAAGGCTGTCAAAGCTAGGCAATTCCTAGCTTCTCAGGTGGGCCATCACAGGCAGGCCAGCCGAGTTCCCTAACCCAGATTTGTTGGGTAGTTGAGCCTTACATTCCTCCCTGCCCCGTCTGCAATAAACTGGGGGTTAGGGAGGCAATGGATGGGGGGGTGGGGATGGGGTGCGGAGGGCTTTTAGAGGACAAGTACGTTACTAAGAGCTTAAGTCGGGAACTGAATTGTCACCAGCAAGACTGGCCTAACCAGAATAGAGCTTTGCAGTCAAGAATTTTGGTTCCTCACCCCCTCTATGTTACCCAATCCTTTGTAATCTTTCTTTAGCTTTTATGTCTCTTTTCCACCCTGACTTGCAGGTCCTTCAGAACCCCTTTTTCGGGCCCCCTTCCTTCTCCGTCCTGCTTCTTAGGGGTGCGGGAGCTTGAGGCTAGGAGCTGCGCTGGGCCCGCTCCTCGAGATATTTGCTTTGCTAACAAATCCCATCCTCTTCTTTCAGCGCTCCCTGCCAGGCGCCGTTTCTTCCTCGCATGGCCGCATCCCTCCCGCTGCTCGCCCCGGGCGGGCGGCTCCCGGAACCCCAGGCGGATGCGGCCGCGCGCCGGC